ATCAGAACAGGAACAGGCAGGCTCAGTCATCCAGGAGTCCTAAGCCAGGTCAGGCAAACAGATCAGAACAGGAACAGGCAGGCTCAGTCATCCAGGAGTCCTAAGCCAGGTCAGGCAAACAGATCAGAATGGGAACAGGCAGGCTCAGTCATCCAGGAGTCCTAAGCCAGGTCAGGCAAACAGATCAGAATGGGAACAGGCAGGCTCAGTCATCCAGGAGTCCGAAGCCTGGTCAGGCAAACAGATGGCTCGGTGGTTCAGAGGCAGAACAGGTCAGGATCAGGTAATCAGATACACCAAGGAACTCTAAAAACAACCATTTATTTCCTGTTGACAAATTACTTATCTTTATATTTTCTGAAAATGTCTACAAATGAACAAATGATTAACACTTTATGAGGCTTTAGGAAAAAAAACCTGTCATCCATAGACCTGATGAAAATCCATAATGCTTTGTTTGCTGAGGAGATGGAGAGCTAAACTCCTCCTTTCCTCATATTTCCATAGCAACTTCAGTGGCTAATCCCAATCTTTACCAACTTCACTGGTTTTGCTTCCCACCAGGGAGAGGAAGCAATTGTTCAGGACTGTGAAGAACAGCTGAGTGACCTGAAGATACGAAGTTCAACCATCTCTCCTCTGAAACTGCGTCGAATCTCCTCCACGAAGCCCTTAACAGTGGAGTCTGTTTGTGACTGGGAAACAGACCAGGTGGATCCTCCATTTCACTGGGCTGAGAGCTGCCTCCATCAGACTCTTTCTGTATCTTTTTAGTCTGATTTACTTTATTTTTTTTTTGTCTTTAGGCTTCAACAGCAAGAGGGGAAACTTTTACTCTGAAATCCCTCTCTGGTGATCTCAACTGGGATGTTATCTCCGCTGATGGAGAAACTAAAACTTTCCCAGGAGTTTGCTTCCAGATCTTACCTCCTGACCCAGATGCCATTGATAAAGTTGGCCTGTAAGCACTGCAACGCTGCATTTTTAGTTAATAAACAGTTTTGATAGTTAAAAATGTATCCTACTCACGCCTCCGCTCTGTTTGTGTGTGTCTTATCAGTTTGTGCAATGACCTGGAAGATATCAAGAAAAGGAGAGAAGCTCTGGCAGCGTCCCTGGATAACCACAGATCAAATTTCTCCGGAGCTCAACAGACAGGTATTTGTCTTTCACTTCTTTACCATCATATTGAGATTTAGACTCAGTCATCAATGTCTCAGGTTCCACAGATACAAACACTCGCATCAATCCCCTTTTCCCCAATCCCCTCTGATTTCCTCAGACTCCCCAGACCCAAGATTAGCCGCTCTGGGCCAGCAGCTGGACCAGCTGGACGCAGACCTGGCCAGCATAGAGGAGAGCATGCTGAGCCGTCTGAGAACGCCACTGAGCCGAAACGATCCGGCTGAAGATCTGGCACAGAGGCTGAGGGAGCAGGAGGTGAGCTGACTCAAACGCTGACGCTTTCATTGAGGAAGGCACTTTCTGAAGGCACCCTGTTTAGATTTTAGATAAGTGCAGGGAGAAAAACCACCAAAACCAGAAAAACCAGGAGTTTGCATGTTCTCCCTGAGCATGTGTGGGTTCTCTCCAGGTACTCTGGCTTCCTCCCACAGTCCAAAAACATGAATGTTAGGTTAATTGGCTTCTCTAGATCCTCCTTAGGTGTGAGTGCGTGCGGGAATGGTTGTATGTCCTGTTTATCTCTGTGTTGCCCTGCGATGGACGGGAGACCTGTCCAGGGTGGACCCCGCCTCTCGCCCGTTGACTGCTGGAGATAGACACCAATTGGGACAAGCGTGTCAGATAATGGATGGATGGTCTTAAGTCCTGAATGCAGACAAAACAGAAGTTATAGTCTTTGGACCAGAGTCTTTGAAAAAGAAGCTGATTAGTCAGTCACTTCATTTGGATGGGATTAAAACTGATCTCAGAAAATAAAGTAAAAAATCTTGGTGATATATTTGATCAGGACCTGTCATTTAAATCCCATATCAAAGAGGTTTCTATAATTTCCTTCTTTC